ACAGGGTCCCGATTGATTTTTGGTGGCTATAGAGGCTTGCGGCGGCGGAACTCCCGATCTATCATGCTCCTCGACGTTTTTAGGGTATATGGATATATATATAGGTGAAAGAAGTCGGTCAGGGGAGCCACTAGGGGCCCACAAGGGTGGGGGCGCGCCCAGGGGGTAGGGCGCGCCCTGGACCCTCGTGTCTCCCTCGAAGCTTCCCTGACGTCTACTCCAAGTCTCCTGGATTGCTTCCGTTCCAAAAATAACTCTCCCGAAGGTTTCTTCCGTTTGGACTCCGTTTGATATTCCTTTTGTGCGAAACACTGAAATAGGCAAAAAAAACAGCAATTTGGGCTGGGCCTCCGGTTAATAGGTTAGTCCCAAAAATGATGCAAAAGTGTATAGTAAAGCCCATAAACATCCAAAATAGATAATATAATAGCATGGAACAATCAAAAATTATAGATACGTTGGAGAAGTATCACCGAGACACATCTCCGGTCAATAACCAATAGCGGAACCTGGATGCTCATATTGGCTCCTACATATTCTACAAAGATCTTTATCGGTCAAACCACATAACAACATACGTTGTTCCTTTTGTCATCGGTATGTTACTTGCCCGAGATTCGATCGTCGGTATCATCATACCTAGTTCAATCTCGTTACCGGCAAGTCTCTTTACTCGTTCTGTAATGCTTCATCCCACAACTAAATCATTATCACATTTCTTGCAAGGCTTATAGTGATGAGCATTACCGAGAGGGCCCAGAGATACCTCTCCGATACACGGAGTGAGAAATCCTAATCTCGATCTATGCCAACCCAACAAACACCTTCGGAGACATCTGTAGAGCATCTTTATAATCACCCAGTTACGTTGTGATGTTTGATAGCACACAAGGTGTTCCTTCGGTATTCGAGAGTTGCATAATCTCATAGTCTGAGGAACGTGTATAAGTAATGAAGAAAGCAGTAGCAATGAAACTGTAACGATCATAATGCTAAGCTAACGGATGGGTCATGTCCATCACATCATTCTCCTAATGATGTGATCCTGCTCATCAAATGACAACACATGTCTATGGTTAGGAAACATAACCATCTTTCATTAACGAGCTAGTCAAGTAGAGGCATACTAGGGACACTATGTTTTGTCTATGTATTCACACATGTACTAAGTTTCCGGTTAATACAATTCTAGCGTGAATAATAAACATTTATCATGAAATAAGGAAATAAATAATAACTTTATTATTACCTCTAGGATATATTTCCTTCAACAATTGTCTCCCGAGTCTGGATCTGTCGGGTTAGGATCTGCCGGGTTAAGTCCAGAGATGCCTTAACGTCATGAGTCGGGTTTAACCGCGAGTAATTCCCTTGACAGCACGCGAAGACGCTGGAAGCAACCATGTGCGCTGTGATGGGTGGCATGACACTACAACTGTTGAAGGTGCGAGAGGGGTGGTTGGAGATGCGAGCTACGACAAATGATTAACGAGCTGCCTCGATCTACATGAGGGGAAGCGACAGAGTGAGTGGCAGAGATGTGAGGGGGGATTTACTCTTGGTAATGTTTAACACCAGTTGATCGGCCAAGTTTTAGGCTGGCCACACGCTGCTCGCTCGATTGGAATGAATTTCACGGCTCACACGCCTCGCGCTGGGCCATCCTTACTTCTTCACCATGCTCGTTCTCCTCCCTCGACGTTAACTCCTGCTGCCCCCTAGGAGCAACCTCCCCATGCCAGCACCTACGAACAAAGCTCGTCTCGCGTACAACATCTCCCTTTCTAGAAGCACTGATGCCCCTGTTGGGGAACGTTGCAGAAAATAAAAAAATTTCTACGGTTTCACCAAGATCCATCTATGAGTTCATCTAGAAACGAGTGATAGGAGTGCATCTACATACCTTTGTAGATCGCGAGCGAAAGCGTTCAAGAGAACGGGGTTGAGGGAGTCATACTCGTCGTGATCCAAATCACCGATGACCAAGTGCCGAACGGACATCACCTCCGCGTTCAACACACGTACGGAGCGGATGATGTCTCCTCCTTCTTGATCCAGCAAGGGGGAAGGAGAGGTTGATGAAGATCCAGCAGCACGACGGTGTGGTGGTGGATGCAGCAGAGTTCCGGCAGAGCTTCGCCGAGCTTCTGCGAGAGGGAGAGGTGTAGTAGGGGAGAGGGAGGCGCCAAGACTTCAGGGTGCGGCTGCCCTCCCTCCCCCTCATTTATATAGGACCCCAGGGGGGCACCGGTCCTAGAGATGGGATCTCTAGGGGGGGCAGCGGCCAAGGGGGGTGGAGTGCCCCCCAAGGCAAGTGGAGGCGCCCCCTCCCCTAGGGTTCCCAACCCTAGGCGCAGAGGGGGGCCCAGGGGGGCGCACCAGCCCACCAGGGGCTGGTTCCCCTCCCACTTCAGCCCATGGGGCCCTCCGGGATAGGTGGCCCCACCCGGTGGACCCCCGGGACCGGTGGTCCCGGTACAATACCGGTGACCCCCGAGACTCTCCCGATGGCCGAAACTGCACTTCCTATATATAATTATTTACCTCCGGACCATTCCGGAACTCCTCATGACGTCCGGGATCTCATCCGAGACTCTGAACAACTTTCGGTTTGCTGCATACTCATATTCATACAACCCTAGCATCACCGAACCTTAAGTGTGTAGACCCTACGGGTTCGGGAGACATGTAGACATGACCGAGACGGCTCTCCGGTCAATAACCAACAGCGGGATCTGGATACCCATGTTGGCTCCCACATACTCCTCGATGATCTCATCGGATGAACCACGATGTCGAGGATTCAATCAACCCCGTATACAATTCCCTTTGTCAATCGGTACGTTACTTGCCCGAGACTCAATCGTCGGTATCCCAATACCTCGTTCAGTCTCGTTACCGCCAAGTCACTTTACTCGTACCGTAATGCATGATCCCGTGACCAGACACTTGGTCACTTTGAGCTCATTATGATGATGCATTACCGAGTGGGCCCAGAGATACCTCTCCATCATACGGAGTGACAAATCCCAGTCTCGATCCGTGTCAACCCAACAGACACTTTGGGAGATACCTGTAGTGCACCTTTATAGTCACCCAGTTACGTTGTGACATTTGGTACACCCAAAGCACTCCTACGGTATCCGGGAGTTACACGATCTCATGGTCTAAGGAAAAGATACTTGACATTGGAAAAGCTCTAGCAAACGAACTACATGATCTTGTGCTATGCTTAGGATTAGGTATTGTCCATCACATCATTCTCCTAATGATGTGATCCTGTTATCAACGACATCTAATGTCCATAATCAGAAAACCATGACTATCTGTTGATCAACGAGCTAGTCAACTAGAGGCTCACTAGGGACATATTATGGTCCATGTATTCACACGTGTATTACAATTTCCGGATAATACAATTATAGCATGAATAAAAAGACAATTATGATGAACAAGGAAATATAATAATAATCCTTTTATTATTGCCTCTAGGGCATATTTCCAGCAGCCCCCCATGCACTGTTTTGCAGCTCGGTCGCCATGGTCATGGACACCCAGGGCAAGCTCGGTTTGTGAAAACAATTAGCATTTTTTGCAACTGCAGCTCCACGTGCTTCAACGACGGCGACTAAGGCGACCTCGAGCAGCGACGCCGCAACCAGGATGCTTACCATTTGCTAGAACCGACCCCACATGATGTTGCAACCATGTCAGAGTTTTGCTACTACTAACAACAACCTACGCTACATCCACCATGGCATGTTGGTCATGATGGCGGTGACGCTTTCTTTGCTACAACAGTGTTTAAGTTTTGCAGGAACCAGAGACATCTTTTGCTACATTCACCGCGGCGTTGTTGGTCGCGACGATGGCAATGACTTTTTTTGCTACAAATGTGTTTGAGTTTTGCTGGAACCGGGGACAACTTTTGAGACATCCACCATGGCGTTGTTGGTTGCGACGATTGTGATGACTTTTTTTGCCGCGACTTTCTTAGAGTTTTGCTACTACCGGAGATGCCATTTGCTATTACAAGAGTTTGCTACGATGATGGTAGAGAGGCGGCCACATTGGTGCTACAACCTTGACGGCGGCGTGCTGGAAACTGCGAGAGAAATGCTGAAACGAGGCAGTGGGAATGCTTCGACCATGGTCGTCGAGGGCTGGAACCAAGTGGCTGGGAATGCTGGAAGTCGTGATCTTTTTTGATGGGAATCGTGAGTGGCCCTAAGAGTG